ACCAAAACTCCCTTGTATTTTCACTTTAAATGAGTGAACTTCATGGTATGTAAATTATATCTCAATAAAACTTTTAAGGAAAAAAACATTCTGTACATTAGTCCTCAAGCCTGGTAAACCATTATCCATCCCCAAGGCCTGAAAACGCCCAGTCGCCATTGGGCCATGTAGAACTGCAGTCATGGCTTCCAAAATTGAGTCATGGATCCTTCAAATACTGAATCATTCTACTCCTCCCAAGGGCCTAAGTAACTCCCCAGCTTCACACTGTGAAAACACTGCAGCTGGCTTCTTTAGGCCAAGTCTATGCCCTCCCCCAAGGTGTCCTGCAAAGCTGCCTTCCTCACTTAGGGAGAGACCCACAGATAGGGGGACATTGTTGTTGTGTGTGGAGCTCTCCCTGCTGGGTTACACCCTCCCCCTGCCCCCCCCCACACACACCACCACCATTAGGTAGGTCTACTCCCTACTTTAGCTTCCTCAGCTAAGCGAGCCTCAGCCTATGAGATTCAAAAATCTAAGGACAGAAGGCCTCCCTCCCAGAGGGGAGGGGTGGAAGGTATCTATGGGAAGAGCTGAAATTGGGGTGGGAGAGGGAGAACAGGAAGCATTCAGCTTTCTGCTTCTTTGCTGCCTTCAATGCTCACTCTGTTTTCCCCAATTACACATGACCTTCCAGTCATTTATCACAGTTGGAATAAAACTCTTTACCACTGGAGCCAAACACAGCTTCCTCCTCTGAGAGAACCGAAATATCATATTGCTTCAGCAAAGCCCTGTATCCCAATGACCTAGATAATTTAGGTATCTTAGTAAAATGATGTACAATGCTAAGACTTTTAGGTTACCCTCTTCACTGACAGGAATTCAAAGGAAGATTTAGAATTAAAGGTTAATAACTTCACGTTTGTGAGGTGGAATAGAAGATATTCTAAAGAATTTCTGATTCTTATTCTGGAAAGAAAAGTTCTCCTCTCTCCAGTTTTTGAATTGTAAATGGAGATTAAAATAGAAAAGTGATATTAGAACAACCTCAGAAATTCTGTATAAATTACATTGGATTGTAAATTCCTCAGCAAAGCCAAAGTACTATGTGATTGCAAAATAATTAGTTATTAATGTATTGCTTCATTCAGTTTCCACTGGCAAATGAGAATGAGATTCTTGAGAACTTGCCTGAATTATTTGTAGTCCCTTAAATGTGGTATTAGCATCAGCTAGATCAATCAACAGGGGGAAGGGAGACGAATGTCTGCCGCCATCATTCATAAAGCTAGGAAACTTGCGTGAGCATCAGTTTGCTCTGCCAGGTAATATAAATAATGCCATAGAGTATGTATATTCAATCAGCAGATGCTCTGGATCGCTGCCTCAGCAATGATTAACAAGGAGTGTGGAAGGTCAACACCAAGTGCACATCTCTGCAGCAGAGAGAATGTCTCGGCCTCCCCAAAGGGACACAGATTAAAGTTTTATTTTGGAGCGTTCTGAACAGTGAATAAATGAATGCTGAAATCCTATCCCCTGAACTCCAGATGCTTGTATCCAAATGTCCATCTAACAGAGCCACTTGCATGTATAATATGCATCTCAATATCCATGTGTTCAAAACTGAACTTCTTTTCTTCCCTAAACCTGCTCTTCCTAGCCTTCCTCATCTCGGTTAGCAGCAATTTCACCCTTCTAGTTACACAAGCCTAAAAAGCTTAGAATCATCATAGACTTTTCTCTTCCTATAAACACCTACATCCAATGTCAGCAAATTCTGTTTAGCTTCAAAATATCACAGATACTAGCCATGTCTCACCACTTCCAAGGCCATCGTCATCTCTCGTCTGTCTGAATTATTGCAGCAGACTCCCCACTAGTCCTCCATTGTCCTTTCTCGATCCATTCTCATTCCACCTTCCAGCCTGATTATCAGTTTTGACAATGGCTGTCACAGTTCTGAGTTGTTATGGTCCTGGCGTTCCTCCATGGCTACCAGTAATGATGGTTAAATCCTCTTCTATTATCCCTATTATGGGCATCTCCTCTCCTTGCTCTTTCAGGCCAAGAGGTTTTCTGGCTGTTTTTGGCTATTGCTGGCCACCAAATGTCCCACCATCTCGTGTATCTCATTCATTCTTCTTTAAATAGTTCCTTGCTGTTAAGCCATTTTGTGTGTTTCATTTCTTTCCTGCCAGGTCTCTTAGAAATGCTGCCGTTCATTGTATAAATTGCCTTAACATTAAACTGTGCATTTTGGGGATCAATTCCATTTGGTCATAATGCATATTGTTATAGGTCACTGGATTCAGTAATTTTTTTTTAGGTCTTTGTATTTGTGTGAGAGAATGACCTGTTATTTTCCTTTCACAATCTGTCCTTTTCAAGATTATGCCACCCTCATTGCCAAGATAAGGAGTGTTCCTGCTGTTTCTACACTATGAAGAATTTGTATAAGATTAAAATTACATACTCCTTCAATTTTATTATAAATATTTGGTAAAATCGTCTGACATTATTTCTTGACCCACTTTTGCAGGTTCAAGTTCTCTAAAACTTGTCCATTTCATTAAGGTTTCAAATTTATTGGAATGAAGTTGTAATATCCTTTTAGATATCTGCATCATAATGTGGCCCTGATCCTTTTTACACCACAATATTGTTTACTTATAAATTCTGTAGGTTTATTCATTAGGCTTGCTAGATTTGCCTGTATTAGTGTTTTCAAAGAAGCAACATTTGGCTCAGCTACCCTCGCATTAGATGTTCATTTTCTTTTCCATTAATTTCTATTTATGATTTCAACCCTTCTATTTTCTTTAGGTTTATTCGCTTGTTCTTTTTATACCACATTAAATTCCATGCATAGCTCATTATTTTTTAACTTGTTTTTCCTAATATAAAGCCCTGTCCTTTTAGACCTCTAACAAAACGTTACAACTTACTTACTACACAGTCCCAAATAAGTGGAACCGAACACTTAATGCTTTTTTAAGGCTTAAGGTAGGGATCCCAACAGGATGTCTGCACAAAGGGCTATCAATAAGATTTTAAGATTGGCTCTAAGTATAAAGAAATATATTAAGAACTGCTGGTTACTATTTTACTACCCTACTGGAATGTAAACTCCAGGAGGACAGGGACATTTGTTTCTCATTGATATCTCACTGCCAGAACAGTACCTGGAACATAGTAGGCATTTAATACATATCTTTTTTGAGGCTTTAAATGAATCCCATAGCTAAACATGTAGCAAGTTTTATGTCTTAGTGTTACTTTTTTTTTAGATGGCAATATAACAACATTTTACACTTGAAATGTTAATCATGATATTTAAAAATAACTTTTCAAACCAGGCAATTATTCTTATTCAGAATATATTAATTTTTCCTTTATTTTAGCTCAGCATCTCCAGTTCCTTCTATTTCATGTTTCCAAGTATTCATAAAAATACCACAAGGTGGCATGCAAAACCTCATAAAGATATTTCTGGATTTTTTGGTTAAAATTTTCCTATATACTCCTTCTATAGAAAACTTCCCTTAAGTCCAGGCGAGAGGGACCCCACTCTGGGCCCTTTGCTTGAGGGCTAGGTTCTGCCCCTCTCGAGTGTACGTCCCTCCCTGAAGGGTGAGACCACAGGGCTTAGAGACGCGCCTGTCCTCTCCTCTTCTAAGACCTTCCTGGGTCTGTTCCAGGAAGGCAGATGGACAGCTGGAGAGCACATTCCAAAGGTCTGGCTGGTCAAGGGGTATGTCTGCAGAAGCTGGGGTAGGTTTTCCTTGGGAAATGGTGGGGTTGGGCAACAACGGCTTACAGACCAGCTTTCCCTCCTTTGCCACTCAGTGCAGGGCTCATGGAGTCTAAGAATTCTAGGAACCTTAGAAAGGTGTATTTGACAAGGCAGGAACAGTGTGTTGGCTGGATGAATAACTTCTAAATATTTAGGTATATGGTATGTGGACCTCTATTTTCACTCTTGACAGGACCCTGCAAACATTAGAGACACAACTATGTGTGTATATCTAATTTGTGGGTATTTTTTGTGTGTATTTGCTTACTTAAAATCTATATGTGGAATCTCTATATTAGAATCCTGAGATTTTAGTAATAAAATTAGCATTTTATATTTGAATAGCTTGTATTGGCTATTTATCAGGAAGTAAAAATAACTCTCATCATAAATGGCCAACAAAAGAATTGCAAACGAAGATGAGATGGCAGCTATTATAGCTCTGCACCAATATTCTGGTTTTCCTCCTTCTAGGAATATAGCACGACTATACTTACCTATCCTTTGGTATTAGATGTGGTTAAGTTTTTTCGTTTTAACTTTGGTTTAGACTCTCTTTATAACTATTTTATTGAGATATTACTCTCATACCATAAAATTCACCCTTTTAAAGTGTGCAATTCAATGAATTTTAGTATTTTCAGAGCTGTGCAACCATCACCACTAACTTTAGAACACTGTCATTACCACACAAAAAAATCCATAACCATTATCAGTGTGTCACCAGATCTGACCACTGTAATGTAAGTAGGAAGCACGCATGTAACTTCACAGCAAATCCTTGCAGAGCTAGTGCTTGAGCTGTGAGTTGTCCATGGTCTATGTCCCTCACCAGACTGTGAGTCCCGTATGAGTGCCAGGCACATACCTGCCTGACTCATCTTCTCATGTTTCCACAGCATTCTTCAAAGTGCTTCATAATAAATATGTGTTGAATGAAGTTATAAATATCATAGAAATTATATTTAACATCTGATATCAATATTTTATCATTATATTTACTTCAAGACTGCAGAAAAATCTTATTAATGAATGACTTTAGCTTTAATACACATTATGAAGTGTACAAATGTTTTCAAACTAACATATCGTATAGTTTCAGATCCTAATCCTGAGTCTGTCTAACAAGGTGAAATTACCAATATCCTGTAAAAGCCTATTAGATAACTTTAAATATTTTCCTACAATATTGTTTTTAGAAGTTCCAGTGACGCAGAAAGAAGTTTCACTTAATTTATTGTTATGGTTGAATAAATATGTATTCATCCCACTCTAAGTAGTTCATACTTATTTTTTAAAAGGGCAAATATCGTAAAAAAAATTAAAACTGAAAACATGGTACCACACCAGACAAAGATCTGAGAGTTTTGAGCTGGAATTTTAGTTTACTTCCTAAGAAACAAGCATTCTTTGCCAGTTCTCATTTTACAAGAAAAAGTGAATTCTATATATTATATTCTTCCTTTGCCTTTATATACATGTACTGACATTCAAACATGGTACAACTTTAGATAAATAAATAGTTATAAAATAAATCTTCAGGATTTAGTCATTAAGGGAGTTAAGACACCTTCTGTACAAACTTTTTTGATGGAAAAGAGCAAGATTCAAGGAGTTCTACATTCTAAACAAGCGCTTTAAACGAACTTTGGTATTTACTAACTTAAGTACTCAAGGACTTGGTTTGAAGAGTCCAACAGGCTGAAAGTCTGCTTTTCAAGAGTACTATTATCTTCTATCAATGGAGAGATTTTGGCATTCCTATAGTCTAATAGTTCACGATCCTTGCTTGGTGTCAGTAATTCATTATCGACTACACCAATGGTTGCATCGTTCACCAGAATGTTTGCTTGGTATGCTCCAACTGGAATTTCAGGCAATCCAATGTAGTCATGATCTGCAACTATGGAGCCTTGTAAAAGATAAAGGCTGTCTGAAAGAAGAAACATCATAAGGTTGCCTTTTAGAATTATAATTAAACATCATTTTTAAATTAAACAATGTTAAAAGAGGAACAAACTCCCAAGTAATAATTAACTATCAAGATGAACTTCTGGTGGGTTCCCCTATCTACTAGATAGACATGTCAAAGAATGAATAAAATGATACATAAATTTGACAGTTCATATTGAGTTCACGAAAGACCAAGGATTTAAAAAGAGCCAAGTTTTCTTGTTCCCCTGAGTTGTCTTTGGTAGGTGTGGGCAAAGGGGTGGAAAAGGCTGGGGATTATGGTATAAATTAAAGCCAAAGTTATCAAACTATATTTTTGATGTTGATAATATCCTTAATATGCTTCTGCAAAACATTTCCTGATGAATTCATGAGGTCTTGAAAGATATTTTAAAAAATAGATAAATCCTTACTTTAGATAATTCTCCAATCTTTATAGAACCCATATTAGGACAGTAATATCAAATTAGTACATTATGAAGTTATAAATGAAAATGAAGATAAAGTTCCTAGAATCGGGCTTATGTGATAGGAATGTGTAAGCAGACAGGCGGTAATGCAGTAGTTTAGAAAGCTTAGCTTAAGTCTAACTGAAGACCAAAATGCTCATGAACTTTTAAGATGTTGCTAAATCCACACTGAAATATTGACAAGGCATTTTCCTTGTTAGCATTTTATTCTATTTTGAGCAAATTTATCATCTCTATCAGGAAAAAAAGATGTTTAAAATGAATGTTCAACTGATGGCAAAGCAGTAGCATCCTTATAAATCAAGGTTAATATATAGAAAAGGATTTCTCCCCACCTAATATTTTAATTCATTACAAGGACTTCTTCCACCATAGCTGATAAACTTCCTGGACCCCTGCCTTCTCTTTCTGGATTTTCTCCCGAAACATTAACAGATTCTCTTGAAGGTTTTAATAGCTACAAGAGTCCTCAAATTTTAAGTTCGAGAAATAGCAAAAGGAAGATTAATTGCCTGTTTAGATTAGAGATCGATGAAAGTTTCTCAGAGCAGATAAAGTTGCTAGTATAGCCTGGAACACAATCCCCCTCTACCCATCCTCATATTAATATGTGAAAATCTCATGGGACCTAGTCCAACTCCATAAGTTGATATATTAAGAACTTTCAATTTATAAACTTCAATAGATCAAACAAATCTAACAGATAGCATAAGTGGTCTTGGGTTTGTATGGACATTTAGTTTTGCCCATTTAGTTCTTCATTAGGCAAAATATACTTGGTATTTTAGTTTTGAGAGATTTTCCAAGTCTAACCCCACTAATTCTTAATGCAAAAGTAGTAATTAGAATGAAAATGCTGTTAAGAAGATATACATATTTATGATGGAAAAAAAGTATGGATAATTGGAGGCAGCAGGAAATGACTTTTGTAGTTAGTACGGGATGAATTTCTGGACAAGAGGAACAATTCTGAAAGATAGAAAAAGAATCATGCAACCCATGAGAAGTGCTATGTCCAACAGCAACAAGAAAGAAGAAAAAATGATCAGTGAAACTGAAACATTTTTAGAATATGTTACTTAGAGGTTCAACATCAAAGTTCAGCTTTAGCCTGTTAATACTGGAGAAGGTTAGGTAGTGGTTTCTAAGAGAACTTATAAAGGTTAGGTACTGTAAAAGTATTACTGATGAAATGTTCCTAATAAGCCATGGAGAATTCCACAGGTTCAAGGCTGATACAATGCTGCAAAGTATCAGTGACAGAAGAAACTACAGCATTTAAGGTATTTCCAAAGATACCTGGACACATCTTTGATGAAGGAAGTTTTTTGTCTCAAAATTTTTTTGCCCATACAGATGAAGTAGATCTATTTAGAAAAATATGTCCAGTAAACATGTATCAACAGGGAAAATATGCACAGATGTAAAGTTCACAGAAGTTTGATTTGCTAGAAATACATTCATAGATCTTGAACTTAAGTACTTCCTAGTTATACTGGACTTAGAAACAAATGCACTTTATCAAACTCATCTGTTTGTAAGAAGAGAGGTTCTACATATAAGTAAGTGATACATACATATGCATATATATATATATGTATATACATGCTTTTTCTTTTAAATAAGTGATAGCTTTAAAGCACCTTATTGTAATAAAACTGTAGAGAACAAGGATTATACTCAGCAAATTCTAAACATATCACTTTATATGCACTGGAAAACTTCTCTGGAGATTTCAAACCTTGTTTGTGTAGAAAAAAACAATTCTCATTCATTCAGAAAGGTCAAATATGTTTCAACTCCTACTATGGTCTATTTCTCTTGGAACCAATACACGAAATGCTCTTTAACTTAAAAAAAGATTACCAAAAATTATCAGAAAAGAGACTCTTGAGACCTTATGTACATGTTGAAATAATATTTTAGATACATGGATTATTTAAAATATCCGGGGTGCCAAAAAAATGTATACACATGACTTGTATTCATCTTTTGTTATTGGTATATATTGAGTATTACAATTTTAATACAGTTTTTTCCTTTCTTAAAATGTGTCTACATTATTTGGGCACCCTCTGTATACTATTAAAATTATTTTTACCTATTTATAGTTTTTCAATGTGGCTACTAGAAAATTTAAAATTATATATTACATAATTTTTGCATTATATATCTAATGGGCAATACTGATCTAGAATAATCCTGAGTTAGGGGCATAGAAAAGACCAAGGTAAGTTTTTGCCCTCATTATATATAGAAAGGCAAACAAACGTACCATTTTAAAGGACTTTTCCACTAAGTCACAGTACACAATACACTTTAAGTATTTTCCTTTTCTTAATCTATTGATTTAGTTGTGATTATGACATCCGTTTGATGAAAAGCAATATTTCAGTTTTGACAAGACTGAATAATTGTATTTAGTTTCTTAGAATCGGAATTATTTTCAAGACATTCTAGGAAGGTATTACCAGCATTTCTTGACATACTTCTACTTATATAGTTTTAAGGAGTAAAAAATGAGATTAGGAAACACATTTTTAAATTTCCCTAAGGAGGAAAATAACTGAAAATCAAAGCCTTAGAAAAGTCTGAGTGATTTGGATTAATTTATTTCTTTAAATAGAAAGAAAAGTACAAGGTGTCGGATTACTTAATTTTCTTATTCGGAAGAGAGGTGCCTAGATTAATCCATATATGGCCTGATAATCCTAAAACTATTAGAATGTGTTGCCATACAAGTACATCTTCTCATGACAAAAATAACAGTAAGTAGAATCTGATACTACATAATTGTTATTATAATAAATAACTAATACTAACAACAGAGAACTGGAGTAGTCTGAATTTGGAGATTACATAACCTTTAGAGGCTCGTTGCAGAAATAATAAAGTCAAGATCATGGGCTTGATAATATAGGGACTAGGCTTTGTTTTGTTTCATGAATGTAGACCATGGTGTGGTGGGCAGGCAGAATAATGGGTCCCTAAAGATGTGCACAATCTGTGGGACCTGTGAATATGTTACCTTACATGGCAAAGGAGAATTGGGATAATGATGGGATTAAAGTTAGTACCCATCTGATCTTAAAATAGGAAGATTATCCTGGAGTATGTGGGCCAAGGACTAGGGTTCTTAAATGTGGAAGAACAGGAGGTTGGAGTGATGTGGTGTGAAGTACCGTCTGCCAATGCTGGCTTTGAAGATAGAGGAAGAGAGCCATAAGCCAAGCAATGTGGATAGAAAGTAGAAAAGGGACGGAAACAAACTTGTCTAGAGCCTACAGGAGGGAACACAGTCCTGCCAATGCATTGATTTTAGCCGGGTGAGACCTGTGTTGGACTTTAAAGTTATTGAACTGTAAGATAATAAACTTGTGTTGTTTTATACCACTAAATTTGTGGTAATTAGTTGTGGCAGCAATAGGAAACTTACAATATAATGGAAACCATTTCACAAACTGTGAAGGGCAATCACACTAAAACCTTTGGAGGAGGCAGACACAAATCTATCACAATATCTCCTACCCAAAACAAAACAAAACAAATGAAAGTACTTAAAATCTGTGTTGGATAAAATAAAGGGTCAATAACATTTTTCCTTTCAAAGGGCAACATTATGAGTTCAAAGAGACACTACAGTATACCATAACATTTCTTGTTAAAATAATTAGTCCTGAAAAGTACCTGACATTGAACTAGACAAAATGACAAATAGGCTTGCTGAAAATAGCAGTGAGGAATATTGTAGAGCTGGTATGGAATGTGCTCTCTCTACACTATGTTCTAGATAAGAAGGGATAAGAAGTTGGCAATAGAAGCGTATCTGCTTTGGACAATGAGTCTTTAATACAGCTACGAAATCTCAAGGCTGATAAAAATAGCAATGCCAAGTACAGTAAGACAAATTCATAGTTCTTTTGGCTACAGCTCATCCAAATTTGTGTCAAATAAAAGGGTGCTTATTCAAAGCCATTTTGTTTGCTTTAAATTCAGTTCTAGGACTCTTTAAAATCAGCTTTTGAGGTAAAGATTTTCAGGAAAATATGTGATACTGAAAAAAAAGATTGCAGAAATCACATTGTGAATTTCCGCAAATAAGAAAAACACATAAAAAGGACCAAATAGTAATCAAGAACCAAATTCCAGGATGGCTAGATCAGCACTTTCTTGCTTAACAAGAGAAAAAAAGGTCTACCCGTCAATCTCAGGTTCCGTATGTGTATACTAGTACTAAAATAGCAATTTCCTTTATAGATCTGGGAGAAATATCTGCAGAGAATTCAAGCATGAGGCAAAAAGTATATTTCCTCTGTTTAGAAAATGTTCTAGTTGATTGGACTTTGAAATATTCAGGAACAGCAAAATGGTTGGCCTCCTTTCTTTGGCAAGAGCAAATGACAAAATGTTGAAACAGATTCTGATACAGCAACATTTTAAACATAAATTTTGTATTACCTAAGGAAGGTTAACACAGTAGAAGGGAGCAAGTCCTGAATGTCAAAGGTTAAGGAGAAAATCATGCTGAAGAAGGAAGGACAACATGTACCTGTATAATCTCTTCTACTTAAATTGCAGAAGGGAGAAATCATAAAGGGTAGCTCAGAATTAAGAGGCACAAGAAATAGAGTGATTATCTGCTTACAGAAAGAATGAAGGTACTGTTCAGAATTAGAACAGTCCAAGATAAGTTTACTGGTAGAGCAATTGGATCTGTCACAAGCAGATGGAAAGGTACAGAGAGCTTTTAACGTGAGCGTTGTGACCTGGATCAGAAGCTGAGCTGAGCTGTTACTCAGCAGCCCCCAAGGGCCTCATATCCTAAAAGGTATAGGTTATCTGTTGCCTTTGCTCTTATAATTATTATTTACTTAAGCCTGTTAAATAACTCAGTTGTTTACATTGTTTAAAAATGTACTAAATTGTATCTTCCACTGTTATTTGTGTCCAAATAATATTGATGCTTTATTTTTCTTTATAGAAAAAGCAAAATTAACTGGCTAAGGTATACATTAACTCTCTTCCAGTTACCAACCTCAGAGAAACTCTAGGGAGCAGATACACTAGGACAAAATAAAACTGTCTCAATAAAAGTGGGATTTAATCTGAAAGCCACAGCAAAAATGTAATTTAGCTCTAGTCTATGAAAGGAAAGGTTAAAGAAATCAGGATTATCTTGACTGTTCAGAACCATATTTGGGGGCAAGTATAACGTTGTTTAGGGTGCAATCACCTCTTCTTATAGCACCTTATAACATTCTGAATACACCCTACTGTGCACCCTTCCCTGCACCCACCATGACCAGATTATGATGCAATGTTAAAAATTTATCACACACTAGAAATTTTTTAAAAACTATCTTACAAGTGTGACAGTTCCAGAAGAGACATTCTAATAAAAGAGGCTACCTAGGATCTAAAACTATACTGAATTTTACAGAAAAGAAAACCTAACCAAGGGGGGGGGGTTGTAATTTTAACTTCTCTCCTCAATCAAAAAAGGTAAATATGTAGACAAGTGACAGATACTTACCTTGGTCACTGGGTTCTCTTACATAGGGCTTAAGGTGGGACATTTTGATAGGTCTTTTAAGTCGAGTCCCAGTGTTGTCTCTCAGAACAGCACATCCACTTTCTGTGATATAGTCTATGACACAAGGACCAACCCATTCGGACTGGAAACGACCATCCTTCCACCAATTTTTCCTTTGTCTTAAAACTTCATGACCCACTTTTAGATGAAATGGATTTAATTGCTTTGGTTTCTTTTTAACAATGATTTTGCTTTTATTTAGTTCATCAACATTGTTATTCTCCATCTACAAGTACAAAAAAAAGAGAGAGAGAACAAAGGGATGAAAGAGCTATAGTTTCTTGAAGGTAAATACAGATAATAATGTAACAAAATGGTTATTTATTGAGATCCCATTTAATTCTTAAAACAATATTTCAAAGTCAGCATCACCCCAGCTTTATAAAGAAGGTAAACTGAAATAGTTTAAGTAATTTGCCCAAGTCAAACAACTGGAAAGCAACAAGACCAGGGATCTGAATTCTGCTCTGCTTGATTCCAAAATGCATGTTTTTCCTTCCCAGAGCTGTCGCTCAGAATTTTACAGCTAATAAACATATTGTTTAATCAAGACAAACAGAATTTAGTAGAAAGATTTTGGTTTAAGGGTATATCATGTGTGTCCCCATGTGTATGTATATATGCTACACTTTTTTTAAAAATCACTTTATAGATTGTTTAATTATAGAGTTTTCTATTAAATAGAATCACCTTGCCCACTGAAGTTATGTTATTCTCCATTATTTTATCAGCTTCTTTAATTGCACCCAGAATTTTGGCAAACATACTTGTATTATCACCATCCACTTCACGGAGAACATCTGAAGTCTCAGGCATATAAGGACTTCGATTAAACATTTGAAAGTATGGTGTATTTTTAGAAGGCTCCTATTTGAAGGAAAATAAACAACAATGTGTAATAAAGCATTTATCTAGGCAAGAAATAGCCCTAATTCAAAAGTATAGAACCACAAACAGGTACATACCAAGTGAGTTAGATTGAAGGCAAGTGAAACGGCTGGTAGGTGATCATCCCAGGTGTTTGGGTGCTCAGCACAGTGTTTGGAAAGAAATGTTTTAATGGTGCTAGGTATACTTTCAGTTTGGTTAGCAGTCTGAGAGGCATGGGAAATTACAATTTGCTTTGTGCCAAACAATCCACACAGTTCAACATTGATCTGAAAAAATATATAAAACAAAGCTGACTTTAAAATTCGTATTTTATTTTTCCCTTCACTAAAAGTTTTCAAAAGAATTTGAATCTTGCCTTTTTCATTGACCATAGCCATGCTATATGAAAAACATATATATTTTGTTTAAACCAGTAATTACCACGTATTGAGTCCTTACTATGTCCAGGCAACACACGAGCTGCTTTACATTACTGTCATTATACCTCACGACAATCTGATGGGGTATTATTAACCCCATCTTAAAAACAAGAAGCTGAATCTTTGGGAAGTTAAGTGCCTTGCCAGAGAAACACATACAGCAAGGAAGTAAAAGAACGGAATGTAACATCAACTCTTGAGTTCAAATAATGTTCAGTAGACAGTTGCTCAGAAAGACAAAAACAAAAAACCACTAGATTACATAATTCAATTAACAACTATATGACCTTGGCCAAGTCACCAGACCTTGAAGTACTTACTCAGTTTCCTCATCTGTAAAATAAGGAAAATCCTACCCGGGCTCTTATGATTAAATGAATAAATATTTGTAAAGACTTAAAACAGTTATTGGCAAGTAGTAAGTACTTTATAACTCAATGTTACTATTATTATTGTTACATTTATTATATGCAGGGCCTAAAAGAAGCCAAAATAAGTTTAGAAAACTTCTAACAGTAAGCCTGTTAAATGTAAAATAACTTATTTTTCCTGCCTTATGCCTCAGACTATGTTTTTTATTTTTAATTGGGTAAACTTCTGGCTGGTAAACTTGTTTTTTTTTAAAGAAGACTATTGTATTTTTTGTTGCTTAATTGTAAGAGGGAAAGTAGTATCAGAATAACTAAAAAGGTAAAGCAAATAAATGAAGAAAAAAACCTGACCAAAACAAAACCACATTTCCGATGCTCCCCTGCATAGGGTGCAAACAGACGTAAGTGGCAGGTATACCTTGGGCTTTTAAACAGCTGTTGGGCAGACTCAGCTCTTTGTGCCCATTGTCTCCCCGTTCTTTCTGTCTGAAATGTGCTTTGTGGCATGGACTCTGACACCCGTATTGTAAGCATATGATTGAGAGTCACATCTTAAAGATGGTGGAACAGAAAGCTAGAAGCATCAGTTCCCAATGACATTGACAGTCACCCTTCCAACCTTGAACAGCCTGGCCTTCTTTTGCTTAAGTACAAAATAAACTCATATTGGCGTTTATATACTGGGGGAAAGACAGGCAGTCTCTGTAACTCACAGCTGAATACAATTCCTAGCTAATGTATGTACTAATTTAAGCTGTCTCCTTTTAATTCAAAAGTAATTAAAAAGAAATCCCAGAGAATAGGTACCATTGGGTCAGCCTTAATCTGAGGTCATAATCAATGGTTTCAAAATGACTGAACTTTGGAAAAGGCTTCAACTTCTTTGTTTCAAGAAGTTGCCTAGGAATGATCCAATGAATCCATTTATGAGATGCTACCTTGATATCCTTACCCAATAGCCTTCTTTCTCCCAATCAAACCAGACATTCCATTAGTGGTTACAATTCTGGCTTTCCACAAGACACATTTTTAAAATTAAAGAAGTAATTTTCCATTTGAAAATGTTCATTCTATTTCCTTCAGAGGTTTATAAAAAGTTCTTTGTACTTTCTATTGAAACAATTTAGCAAATACTCTAAGACAAGTTATGTTAGAAACATCTGTATTTTCATCCAACTGTATAATAAACCTCCTACTAAATGTTCTAATCTTATCTCAACACTTTAGCAGTGTTTGCTGTATTTGCTGACAAAATAAATTTATTTTGTCACCATTATCCTTTCTGTATAATATTTAAGCCATTTAAATTGCAGCAAAAAGAACACATTTTCCCAATCATATGTGTTTAGTTTGATATTATTAAATCTCACAAAAAGAGGCTTATAAACATTTGTTACCTTTGGTAAATTTTTATCACATGATTTTAAACATGACTGGAAAAACTGTTGGTAATTCATACTGGCTTTACACTGTCATCATCTAATATCTTAAAGCATGGTATGCACCTAGGGTGAGGCTCTTCAACAAAGGTGGAAGCAAATCAATATATCAAATAGTGTTCTTGATAATTTTGAATTTTGGTGCCTAATTTCCTATTAGATCAGATTAGTTTATATTTGTTTTCATTCCATTAATGTGACTATGAAAGAGTAACACAAGTTAAGTAGAAGTGTCAGCTCTATCATTTTCTTGTAGTTGACAGATGACTGCATTATTAATATTACCTTGTTTTATTGAAAGAAACTTAAGCCACCTGGCTATTCTATGAGGAGTATTTGGGTGAAAACTAGACAATAGCCATAAATTCAATTATTGCTGAAAGCAAAAGAATGAGTCAGGGAACCACTGTGGACTCCTACATGTTGTGGGTTCTCACATTCCTCCAAGTTACCTTTGCATTACCAGGTGTGACACACAATTATCTGCCTTATTGACTCAGGATGCTATTATCAATCTGTATACATTATTAGTAAAGCTTAATTTCTTTCTTATTTATTGGATAAAGAGAAATATAAACAGAAGTTCTAATACTGTAGTCCCACAAAACGGATTGTCTTACACACACTATTTTGCAGACCACTGCTGTGTCAGCCAGGTAGGCAAGGTTATGCTACAGTTGCAAAACACATTCAAGTCTCGGTGACTTAACTCAGCAGTTTTGCTGCTTGCTCAAAGTCAGCTGTAGGTCGGTGCCTCTCTGAAGCAACTATTCTCCACTAGGTTCCTCAGCAATTCTGGATGAGAGAAATTCCACCACCCTATAATACCTGGAATATTCTGTCAATTCTCCAGAAAAAAGAATAAGACTGGGAGAATGAAGAATTGGGCATGAGGTTTCACTACTTCAGGCTGAAAGTGGCACCATCTTTCCCCTCGATTTCTTTGGCCAGATGTAGTTACTTGGGCTTGGTTACCTGTAAGAGGCTAGAAAGCGCCGTTTATGTTGGAAAGACTAGGAGAACTCGCTTTTGCTGAGCACTAGTAGTTTATATCACAACAGCAATATGTAATTATGCATATTTTAATCACTAAAAATTATAAAAACATAATAATATATATAAACTAAAAAATTTAGGGAAAAAAATCTATAAAATTTCATCACTTAAAACCAAAACTCCATGAGTTAATCTTATGGAATTTTATTGTAGTTTTTGATATCTATTTTTTAAATATAATTATCTATGTAAATATATGAATATGCAAATATATAACAAAATTATTTATCCAGGTTTTTAATTTAACATGTTGTAAACACTGTCCACGTTATTTCCTTTTCTTTGTAAACATTATTTTTAAAAGATGTCTATTAAAATATAGCTAACATACAATATTAGTTTCAGGTGTACACCATAGCCTTTCAACACCCGCTATTCTATACCTAAGAAGTGATCACCATGATAAGTCCAGCAACCATCTGACAAGGTACCACACTATCACAGTATTATTGACTATATTCCCCATGCTGTACATAACACCCTCATAACTTACTTGTTTTATATCTGGAAATCTGAACCTCTTTTTCCCCTTCACCTTTTCCCCCTTTTAAAAAATTTTCAATTACAGTTGACATTCAATATTATTTTATATTAGTTTCAGGTGTACAGGATAGTGGTTAGACATTTATATACATTATGAAGTGATCCCCCTGACTTGCCTAGAATCCACCTGGCACCATACAAAGTTATTATTACCATATTACTGACTTATTCCCTATATTTTACATCCCTGTGACTATTTCATAACTACCAATTTGTACTTCTTAATTCCTTCACCTTTTTTACTTCGCCCTCCCCAACCCCACTCCCCACTGGCAACCATTAGTTTGTTCCCTGTATCTATGAGTTTATTTTGTTCTTTAGATTACACATATAAGTGAGATCATATGGTATTTTTCTTTCTCTCTCTGACTTATTTCACTTAGTGTAGTACGTTCCAGGTCCATCCATGTGGTCGCAAATGGTAACATTTCATTCTTTTTTATGGCTGAGTAATATTCCATTGTATATATTCCACCTCTTCTTTATCCAAACGTCCACTGATGGGCACCTAGTTTGCTCCATATCTTTGCTATTGTAAATAATGCTAAAATGAACATAACGGTTCACATATCTCTTTGAATTAATGTTTTGGATTTCTCTGGATAAATACCCAGGAGTGGAATTGCTGGATCATAAGGTAGTTCTATTTTTAATTTTCTGAGGAACCTCCAAACTGTTTTCCATAGTGACTGCACCAATTTTCAATCCTACCAACAGCACATGAGGATGCCCTTTTCTCTACATCCTCACCAAAACTTGTTTTTGTTGACTTACTGATAGCCATTCTGACAGGTGTAAGGTGACATCTCATTGTGGTTTTAATTTGCATTTCTCTGATTAGTGAGGTTGAGCATCTTTTCATGTCTATTGCCCATCTGTATGTCCTCTTTGGAGAAATGTCTATTGAGGACCTCTGTCCATTTTTTAATTGAATTGTTAGTTTTTTTGGTGTTAAGTTGCACTGAGTTCTTTATAAATTTTGGATATTAACGCCTTATTGGATGTAATATTGGTGAATTATCTTCTCCCATTAAGTTGGTTGTTTCCATTTTATTGATGGTTTCCTTTGCTGTGCAAAAATATTTTGTTTTGATTTAGTCCCATTTGTTTATTTTTCTTTTGATTCACTTGCCCAAGGAAATATATCAGAAACATTACTAAGAGCAGTGTCAGAGAGTTTACTGCCTGTGTTTTCTTCTAGGAGTTTTGTGTTTCAGGTCTTATAATTAAGACTTTAATTCATTTTGAGTTTAGTCTTATACATGGTCCAGTTTCATTCTTTTGCATGTGTCTGTCCAGTTTCCCAGCACTATTTATTGAATAGACTATCTTTAACCCATTGTATATTTTTGCCTCCTTTGTCAAAGACTAATTGACTGTATAGGTGTGGGTATGTTTCTGGGCTCTCTGTTCTGTTCCATTGATCTATGTGTCTGTTTTTATGCCAGTACCATACTGTTTTGATTACTATAGCCTTGTAGTATAGTTTGAGAATAGGTATTGTGATACTTCCAACTTTGTTCTTCTTTCTCAAGATTGCTGTGGCTATTTGGGGTCTTTTACATTTCACATAAATCTTAGGAATATATTTTCTAGTTCTGTGAAAAATGCTATTGGTATTTTGATAGTTATTGCATTGACTCTATAGATAGCTTTGGGTAATATGGACATTTTTAACAATGTTAATTCTTCCCATCCATGAGCACAGTTCATGCTTCCATTTTTTTTGTATCTTCTACAGTGTCTTACAATTTTCCAAGTACAATCTTTTTCCTCTTTGGTTAAATTTATTCTTAGGTATTTTATTTTTTTGGTGCAATTGTAAATGGGAGTCTGTAAACATCATTTTTAATGGCTACAAAATATTTCATCATGTGATTACATATATTTTTCTGAAACATTTCCTTTTTTTTAGATAGTTAGGCTGTTTCCCAACTTTCACTAAAATAAATAGCATTGTGGTGTTTATAATAAATAAATTAAATAAATCAATCGTAAGAGCCATTTCTATACTTTAAACAATTGCCTTGTAATAAATACTTAGAAACAGAGGACTGCTAACCAGAAGACCAAAATATATCTACAGCTCTTAATGGACCTTTGGCAAACTACTTTACAAAAGAGTTAGTTTCAAGTTGCAAAGCTACCAGTAATGTAAGGCTATTTCATTCTTCCTAGAGTCTATTTGGCATTATTACAATTTTTGTTGATTAGATAAGCAGAATGTGGTCTTACCTTGCATTACTCAATGAGTCTGTACATTTTCCCATGTTTATTATTTTTATTCCCTCTTGTGAATTATGTTTTTGCCACTACATTTTTTTTTTATTATTTTTTTTAAGCTGAGCCATCTTGCCACCTGTTGACAGCTCGGTGGCAGCTCAGCTCGGGCTAGGCATCGAACTGCTGTTGCTCAGAGCTTGCACTCCTGAGCAAGCTCTTAACCAACTGAGCCACTCGGCCGACCCTGCCACTAAATTTTAAATTTGTTTGAATCTCTTATAACAAAGACATTAGCCCTTTCCTGCATGAATTTGCTTTATTTTTGTTGGCCTACTTCTTGGCCTTTATGTTTTGCTTATTTTACCACACATAAGTTTCTAATTTTTATGTAGCCAAATTCGGTGATGTTTTCCATTGAAATTTATACCGTTGTTCTTAAGATTAGAAAATTACCTCCATCTCTAGAGATTAGAAAAAGTCAGTTGTATTTTTTTGTTTCAATTAAAAAAATAAAAATTCTTTAATTTACCTGAAAACAAGGTAATTTGGGTATGTGGTAATTCTAAAATCATATTGTAGAAATAAGAAACAATTAGAAAATTGTTACCTATACTGTTAATTATACATTAAATAATCCTTCTTTATTCTACTCATATGTGACACCATCTCTATAATTTTAACCATGGTTACCAAACCTTATGGCAAGGGGTTTGTTGGACATCTTGAGAACTACTAGCTTAAGGTAGTTTATGGTTTCAACATTAGATAAGGCTACATTCTTTTCAATGATGTCATATCTTTACAGAACTGGTTTTTGTGTAGATGTTGGATAAAAAGCAATTACTGTGTAAAAATCAATGTGAAACAGGAAATGAGGATGGTGCTGTCCAATCTGATTCCAAAGTTTGAGAAGTTGAGCAGTGGTCAATAGGTACACACATCCCATTAGGAAGCAACTGTGGTTATTTAAGAAAAAAAATATTTTTTCTTTCAATTTATGAGTATTTCTTTTAAATGGTTAAGTGGTTAGGACCTGTGCAGAAGAGAGTTAACACATAGCCGACCTTCAAAAGGCCTGATTACAAGGTTGGCCCTTGGCTAGTATATAGAAACTTGGATTTGGGGAAGGTTTCCACCATTCCCTAAATGATAAAGGTGGTTCAACGTGCCTAATCTGTTTATATAAACAAGGTGGTTTATGCTGAACACCTTCTTTTCTTTGGGAGTCTAGAATTTGGCACATGCCAAGCAGAGGGTACCTATGTGACCAGTTTGCAATAAAAATCCTAGGCACTGAGTCTCTAATGAGCGTCTGTGGTAGACAACATTTTATATGTGTTGCTACAGCTCCTTGCTGGGAGAATTAAAGATGTTCTGTGTGCTTCTAATGGGAGAGGCCATCTTGGAAGCTTGTAACTGGTTTCCCTTATTTAGACTTCCCCCATGAGCTTTTTCTCTGCTTATTTCTCTTCGTATACTTTTGTTATAATAAATCTTATCCATAAGTATGACCATTTGCTGAGTCTTCCCAGTAAACCACAAAACCTGGAGATAATCTTAGGAACTCCCTAACATTGGATCTAACTACTTAATAAATATAAATTTAGGTATTTCTTTTGGACTGAGTTCAAAGGTGCTGTGAACCAAGACAGTCTGGCTAGTTTTGATCTTTTTCTTATACCAGTACCCTGTCAATTATAAAATATTTTAAATATGCCTTAAGTGTAGTAGTTATTATATTCTTGTTTAGAATTTTCATGTATATTCTTGCCTGCTTATTCTTTCAGATTAACTTTAATCTGGAAAAAGGCCAGGATAAGGGGAAAGCTCCTTTTTTTTAGGCTGATTGGAAATTCATTAATTATATAAATTAATTTTGATTTGGGAAAAATCTATACCTTTCGATATTGAATATTCTCATTCATGCACATGATGTATTCTCATTTAGCCAATTCTCCCTGTACATGTCAATCAGAATTTTTAAGCTAGAAGTAAACAAAGATTATTCGGTCCAACCACCTCATTTCAGTTTGAGGAAGCCTGAAGATAGATTTACAATTATTATGTGGCACAATAAGTACTAAAATCCTCGTCTCTTAATTTCCAGTCCAACTACCCTTGTACTATGCAATATTAAACCTCTATATCTGCAACAATTTATCTAAACTCATTAAGCACCCTATAATGGTGTGCTGGGCACTGTACGTGAGCAAAAAATTCTCTTAGACCTAAGAAGCTTATTTGTCTTACCTGATGAATGAACTCTTCCCTTTGGTCCATTATTATTTTCTGAGGAGGTCCATATAAAAAAAATATATTGATAATAGCTTTTGAAATTTCTGATGCTGAAACATCACACAGAGGCAAAATCACAACCCATTTTGTGAACAAATCTGTCATGATTATAGCATATACATGACATCTGTTGCTTGTATGAAATGGGCCCATCAGATCAACAGTAACTATACTCCATGGACTTTCCACCTTGAGAAGGTGCTGTTTAGGTGCTAGAATAACTGTATTTTTTGTCACTTGACAATGCTGACAAGCGTATACCTATGAAACAGGTACATAATAAAGACAAGACAGACAAACGTTAATATGTTCAGCATAACAAAAGCAGTCTTATAAATCTGAACTTTAAAATGGTTAATAGCTACTTTGTGTTTTAAAGAAGAAAATTTTGGAGTATTCTAGAATATAATAAAATCTCCTATTTAGGGTAATAAGCAAGTATCAATTGCTACTGCTATTCAATGACCATCTTAAGGAGTCTTACTCACATGCAACATAATTCTGTTTTACATTCAATAAATATTTATTAAGTGAACAGATTTTTAAACAAGTTTGCCCTAATTTTTAAATCAGTATGCAAATATATAAAAATTTCTATAAGAAAAGATTTTTTCTTTCAAAGTTATCACTCTAATAAGTTCATTCTTTCATCTATTCTAACAAATATTTATTATACATAATTTTATTCAAACAACTTTTATAGATGCCAGAAATTCCGTTAGGTCCTGAGAAAAGAGGATGGACAGAAATAAAGCCCATGCTGTCTTGGGGCTTTCACCTGAATGAGATGAGGTCAATCGATCAACTTATGGATGGTGCCATTGCTCAACATATACCTGAGATTCCACTTTGGAAACTACTTTAAACCCTCTACTGAACACAATTTTAAAAACGATCTTATTACATTAGTTACTTTTGATCAAAAATTTTATTTTCCAACTTATGCACAGATAACCTCTGGTTGTTATTTCCAAAAATCATTTCCATTCTCAAATGATAAAGATTTGACAAAGATTTCCACAAATGTTTGTAAAGAAATTTGTAGCAGGTTCTAAAGGCAAATACGTACAATATTGACGTCTGTGGAATACCTGCACAGACTCATAAACTGATAACTCATTAATGATACTTTGTTAAATGTTGGTTTAATTCTTTATGCCTGAAATGACAGTCTTTTTGATGCATTATTACAATTAAAAAGGGATCTCACATACCAAGGAATTTCAACCATTTGCAAATTGAGTATACTAGGAAGAGTAGAAATCAGTCGATCTACCAGCAAGAACCCCAGAATTCCTAGGTGAATTTTCTATTATAAGAAGTTGAAGGTCCTAATGGGTTATAAAGTTACAAAACTCAGACTAATTTCATTATCTTTACAATCTGATTTTGCAATTACAAACTACTCGTATTGCAAGACGTCACTCATTTACCAAGTAAAAATGTATTAGAAAGGTTTGCTCATCTTGTGGAACACTCGCAAACCAAGTTACTTGCAATCCAAGGTTTTACTGTAGTTGGTTTTGGGTTTCTTCCATATTTGACATTTTCTGTCAAGAACAGGCACCAAAGATGAGAGCACATACTGGGCCTGACTTATGAACATATTTACCCCTCAAGAAAAGAAGGGATCACTGTCATCAAAGAGATATTTATTTAGTCAAAGGAATTTCGGTCCTATTTATATTCTGCCTATACAAGAGTTCAGTGATGAAAATCTGGTTCTAAACAACAATGAAAAAAATCTCTCTAAATATAATTTTTAAATAATGCTTTTTTTCTAGTTCAAATTATACTTTAGTGATTTCAAAGAATTTTGAAGGGAAATAAAACTCCCTTTAAATGTTTTGTACAGAAACTACCCACACAAAAAGTACATAATGAGAAGTGCTACTAAGAGTAAATCAGGAGCAATAATGAATTTTGGATACCTATTACAAAGACATTATTCAAAATATTCTGAATACATAAGCCATACCCACTGTTTGACATCATTGGTCACAGAAGTCCAATAGTAACTGGATTCCACTAGAGTAAGGGTTCTGGATATGCCATGATGGGCTCCAGTGTCATTTTCATGGCATTCTCTTAGGGCTTTATTTTTTTCTTCTTCTGAAACAATTACCAAACGATTTTGTTTTCTGTCTTTGCCAACATAAAACAGTTTTTTTTCTGGAATAAATGATACCAAAAAGCTATAATTGCAATTTTTAGAGATCTGTATAGTTTTAAGATAATCACAGTCTTTATCTTTAAACCATGAGGGTTTTTAAAAAATTAAAACCCGTTTTTCCCTCTAAGAGAGAATATTTATTTTTATAATGATGCTACCATACAATCTAAAAGGTCCTCAGCTGTTATACTTATTAGATACATAAGAGGAGCACTAGCTGCTATAATTTTGTATCTAGCAATACAAGTAAAACTAGCTTGTTCAACAAAGCACATGATAACTGTGGGAGTATGAAATTATCTTTCTATGGAGTACTCAAACTAGAAAAATACTTGCAGGCACCTCCTACAAATGGCATGAATTAGCAAATGAATTATGTACAGATAAGCAACTTCAGGAACAGAATATTCCAAAACAGTATTTCACCATAACTGCATTTTTATAAGCAACCTCTCCTAAGTTTTCTAGATTTGAGTAGGAGGTAGGGTAGGTAAAGACAGAAAGTGGGAGAACCTTAATCCTGAGACCATTCTCTGTTTTCCTCTGGAGGACACATGAGAAGAATCTACAGCTAGGAAGCAACCAGGGCAGGGAGAGAACCACCACCTCTCTAGTGTGGACGAGGAAACTGTTCAAACTCCAGAATAGAGCAGTAAGTTACTAATGTGTTTAATTAGCACATGCTGAGTCGAACAGTCCTTACTTGAATCAGAAGGTAACTTGAGAGCAGGAACCTTAACTTATTCATCAATGTATCCCAAAGACCTAAAATGTGATTTGCACACAGTACAAACTCGGTAAACATTTGTTGCATTAATGATTAAATAAATTAATCAATGAATACTCACTTTAGCCTAAGAGGTAATAGGTATGACTATTCTTAAGTGTAAGGGATTTATTGAAAGGGGGATACATACGGAGAAATGAGCAAATATTTATTTATCATCCTAGAAATGTCTTGACTTGTTTTGAAGAAAGCCTAATTCTGTACCTACAGGCAAAACACCCATTATTAGGACCAACACTCATTTAGTTATCTGGTGACTACTTCTTGCTTATCTCATTCCAAACTTCTCTTCCCTTTCCCTTTGGAAGATGAGAAAAGTAAAAATTATCATAATCTTTCAAGATAAATATTCTATCAACTTTCAAATATTTAATCCATTCAGGATGATTCAGGGATCCAAAAGTAAATGTAATCCTGAATTTATTTAATGACAGAGGGAGGAAGGAACCACAGAAATAAATATAGTAAACAAACAAGTTAACTTTGTAAACATTTTCATATTAAGCATCAAATAAGTTCTTCATTGACAGTAACGTGAGTGCTTCAAAGTGCACCGTTAGAGTAGAAACCACCTGAGGGAAAAAGCAGGAGAGGTTAATTTAGGTAAGTTTTGTTTTTTTCATGGTATCATTTTCTGTTTATGATTTTAAATGTTCTTTTCAGGCTTACTGGCCTTCAGTTAGCTTCAGTGTGATTTTTACTTTGCTTTTGACTGAGTGGCATCGTCAATTCAACTGGTAACTAACTATTCAGCGACAACCAATTACTACAGACATTCTCAGGATTACACAAAGAACACATATGGAGAAGCATCTTTATTAGCTCTATATTCAAGATTTGGGGCTTTCATTTTACCTTTGAAGACAAATTTTTTGGCTGCTCTTCTTATGCCACTTCTCTCACTTGGTAGTGTAGTTGGATGATATTCACCAGTTCGTTTATAATATGCAATCTGTTTAAGATGAAGTTCACCATTTTTTCCACTACGCACCATTGTGAACCTAGGTAAAAGGTATTTAAAGATATAATTTAAATAAGCTAATTCAGTTGCTATTTCAGTCCAGACTTCTGTCATATTTCTGCTTACATATGAATTGAACATCCCCAGAGTATTATCTATGACAGAGATAATTGTAGTACAGAAAAGGAACAGTGTGATGTATATGAACTAAAATATTCAAATGCTATTTTTGAGATACATCATGAAAAATTAGCTTGTCTCTTTCCACGTGATAAAAAATGCTGGAAATTTTCGACATACTAGGAAAAAAGGAAATGAACAAGTACTCTTCAAAAAGTTTGTTTAAAGTCTCTCATTATCATTAATTGAAAAGCTAATTATATAGGATGGTTCTGTTATGAGACATTTAAATAAATGATAGGTTATAAGGAGAGCAATATAGTTCTTTATTACTTCTAAATATATTCATGGTCATTGCAAAATGCAAAAAAAAATTCAAATCATTTATGAGAAAGATATATTTTAGAAATGTTCAAATGATAGGTGACAGAGAAGATATTTAGCTACGCTAGATCTCATGCACTCTTCTGAACTACATGTAAGCTGCTTTTTTTAAAAAGGAATGACTTTCGGTTCTGTGCATACCTTCTCTACATTATAAAGAAAAATCTGGCTGCACTGCCCAAAACAAAGCAAAACTACTCTATTTTAAACCCCAAACAATATAGGAAACCACTACATTAAAAAGAAAAAAAACACACATCTTCTTTCATATTTTCAGTTGAAAGGAACTATCCTGTGCTGGTTATTCGGTTTGCCACCATCCCTACCCATCCAGAACCACGTGGGCCGTTCTCTCCCTGCTGCTGTGCCCCAGGAGACTGACCCCTACAGGCTGCAGTTATAGTTTTCCATTTCACAAAGTCCATTCTGCACCAATATAAAAGATAGACTGAGGTGGAAAGATAGGAAGGTCAGTACCAGTCAGTTAAGGGACTACTGCATTATTAAGGCGAGAAATGATAAAATTCTGAGTCAAAGCAGTGTCAGTGGAAATGGATAGATACATTTTATAAGAACTGAGACTGACTGGATGTGTGGAGTGAATAAAAAATGTCTGGGGTCACTTCTGAAGTTGGGGCTTAGGGAGAAAGATGACAATATTGAACACGTTGTTTTCAGCTCAGGGATGAACTGAGCATGTCTGGTGGATGGAGTTAAGGCAGGGAAGAAGGGTTTCATGGCAAGTGCACTGAGGAAGAAGAGCAGGAGACATGCCCTTACCCTTTACCATTCCCATTAATGCGTTCACTCATCTATGAATCCTTCCTGACCACGTGTGAGTCCTCTCAGGTAGAATTGTGCACACCTTCCTTGGTACACCCACAGTACATGTACCAACTTCTATAAAATCTGCAACACTTCACTGAACTTACTAGTTTACATGTTTCTCTCCTAAATATATTGTAAATCCCTCAGGGGCATGAGAATAGCCAGAGAAATAGGAAAAAACCTCAGAAGAGGTTCTGGTCATAGAAGCTTAGGGAATAAAGAGTTCTTAAGCACCAAGTAGAGGAGAGGTTAAGTGATAACAAAAGTAAAATGTGTCTACTAGTTTGGGCATTAGTTACAGCAGAGGGGGGCAGGTGGAAACCAGACTGCAACCACGTAAGGAACGAATGGACGAGTAAGTGGGTTTATTGGGTTGTCGGAAAAGTTGTGACATATTTTTTTCTATGTTTTTCGTTGCAAAAATGCGTCATGACTTTTCCCACAACCCAATAGTAATCTTAAGTTTTGTGATGAAGGCAAGTAACTACAAGACAGTTGCTACAGAAAAACATAAGGTTCATTCACCAATTGAAAAAAATCTTATTGGGCACCTGCTATGTGTCAGATACAACCCTGGAGATACAATAATGAACAAGATATATCCTATTGACCCTTATGAAGTTTACATTCTATTAGGGTTAAGAGGTTGTTTTGACACCCATGTTCTTGGCAGCATTACTCACAATGGCCAAAAGGTGGAAACAATCCAAGTTTCCATCGCTGGATGAATGGATAAACAAAACGGGATATATGCATACAACGGAAAAAGTATTCAGCCTTAAAAAGGAAGGAAATTCAGACACATACTAAAACATGGAAGAACCTTGAGGACATTATGTTATGTGACATGAGCCTGTCACAAAACCACAAATACTGTATGATTCCACACATGAGGTTAGAGAGACAGAAAATAGAATGGTGGTTGTTGGGGTGGGGGTTGGGAGTAATGGAAGCGTAATTGTTTAAACGGTACAGAGTTTCAGTTATGCAAAAAAAAAAAAAGAGTTCTGGAGATGGATGGTGATGATGGTTGCACAACAATGTACATGTACTTAATGCCACTAAACTGTACACTTTAAAATAGTTAAGATGATAAAGATGTCACCTAGGACTTTCATAGCTAGAGAAGAGAAGTCAATGCTTGGCTTTAAAGCTTCAAAAGATAGGCTGACTCTCTTGTTAGGGGCTTATACAGCTGGCGAAGGCAACTGACTTTAAGGTGACACCAATGCTCATTTACCATTCCCAAAATCCTAGAGCCCTTAAGAATTAGACTAAATCTACTGTGCCTACGTTATATAAGTGGAACAACAAAGCCTGAATGATAGCACATCTTTTTACATGGGTTTCCTGAATGTTTTTAGCCCACTGTTGAGACCTACTGCTCAAAAAAAAAAAGATTCCTTTCAAAATATTACTGCTCACTGACAATGTACCTGGTCACCTAAGAGCTCTGATGGAGAGGTACAATGAGATTAATGTTGTTTTCATGCCTGTTAACACAACATCCATTCTGCAGCCCATGGATCAAACAGTAATTTCAACCTTCAAGTCTTATTATAGACATGTATCACTTAACGATGGGGATAGTTCTGAGAAATACACTGCTCATCATTGTGCTAACTTCATAGAGGGCACTTACACAAATCTAGATGGTATAGCCTACTACACACCTAAGCTATAGGAGATGCCTACTGTTCCTAGGCTATAAGCCTATATAGCATGTTACTGTACAAAACAAGATTAAATCAAGTACAAGAGAAAATGATGCAATCAAGAAACACAGTAAACACAAAATGTATGAGGCTGCTGTTGGTGTAACGTGGCATACTGTTTAACAGCAAACATTTTTTATATAAGTAGAAAGAGTATACTCTAAAATAACAGTAAAAAGTATACTATAGTAAATATATAGACCAGTGACATAGTCATTTATTATCAAATATTACATGCTATACATAATTATATGTTCTATACTTTTATATGACTAGCAGTGCAGGTTTGTTTACACCAGCATCACCATAAACACATGAGTAATACGTTGCACAAGAATATCAGGATGGCAGCAACGTCAGTAGGTGACAAAATTTTTCAGCTCCATTATAATCTTATGGGACCACTGTCATATGTAGTCCATCATTGACCAAAAAGTTATTTTGCAGCACATGATTGTTATTTAAGAAATATATGAGGTGTGATCAAACAATATGGTAAATGTTTAAATAAAAAAAAATTATTACAGAGCCAGCAGAGTGGCTCAGTTAGTTAAGAGCACACTCAAGAGTGTGAGCTCTGGGCCGGCCGAGTGGCACATTGGTTAAGAGCTGGCTTGGGACGCCAGAGGACCCCGGTTCGGATCCCACATATGAGGGCCAGTGACACTGCCCTCTACAGCTAAGATACTGAACAACAGCTCAACTTGGAGCTGGGCT